ATGGCAGTCATAATTAACTGATCATAGTATTCGCTCTGTGAACTCAGAGGTCAGTTCTAGATTTTTCTTAATGTAGTGGGACAGGACAGCTATTACCAATTAATTATTAAACTTGGACAAGGTTAAGATAAATTTAGCATTCTTTAACAGGAGAGTGGAAAGGGAAGGCTGCTTGTATTAAAAGAGTAATGGTTTGAGAGTGAAGATTTCTGTTGAATAACACCAGCTGTGTTTGAACAGATAAGCAGTTTGGGTTTGGGATGTGAGGAAATGTGGATCACTCAGAAGAGCAGACAGACATAAATATTCATACTGCACTTTCATAAACTTCTTGTATCTTTTAGATCATTTATATCATAAGGAATCCAAGAGATATTGTTACCTCTTGGTATCATTTATTAAAAGGAGAATTGAGACAGAAGCAGCCAAAACATTTTGATGAATTCTTGGATGACTTTGTGCAAGGCAAACGTAAGTAAACCCTAGACCTCTCATTATAAATTTTGGGGGATTATAGTAATCTGGGTAGTTTCAGAGATATGATCAATTTTGCATTCATTGTTTCAAAGAGTAAATCTGTGGTCCATAAATGTTTAAAATTTACCTGATGTCATGACAAATACTTAGTGGGAGACCAAAGATAGTATGATTTTATTTAATTCCTTTTTGATTCTGAAAATCAGTCCAAATATGGAAACACTTCATATAGGTGCCTGAATGAATATATGTACTTTATTTCTATATTTTTGATCTCTTCTGTTATCTCATCATCTTATATTCCTCACGTGGATTCTTTCTTATTGATGATGTATAGATGCTCCTTGACTTATGATGGGGCTATGTCCTAAGAAACTCATTGTAACCAATATCATAAGTCAACGATGCATGTAGTACACCTAACCTTCCTACCAAACACCGTAGCTTAGCCTACCCTGCCTTAGAGATGTTCGGAACACTAACATGGATATCGTTAGCGTGGGAAATGATCAAAATTGAAAATTAAAAGTATGATTTTTACTAAGTGTGTATTGATTTCATACTATTGTAAGGTGAAACATTGTAAGTTGAACCATTTCCAGTTGGGGATCATCTGTAACAGATTCTTTACATAGTTTTTAAATTCTGAATTAACTGAATTCCCCCCTAATTCTTGGCAACATATTTTTCTGTTGAGAAGTTGTTAGAGGACATTTAGTATATTGCAGCGCTCTGATTTTCGTTTTATTTTAGATAATTGTATAGTTTCTGTGATGATCTGTTTTTTTACTATTTTGGCTGAGGAGAGGCTTTTCACATTGAGCTGTCATCAGATTTCCATAAGTGACTGGAAGATGTGTTTTGCAGGATGTATTCTCGTGGCCTGGGATTCTGTGAAAGTTGCCACCCTTTCATTATCAATAGCCAAAAGAAATGAGTAGTTCAAAATTCAACATGACTCTTTTCTTCCCCACACTACTCCATACACAGAGTGCTTATTACAAATGTGGTTAGTTTGTATGTTCATTTGTACAACTATGATTCTTATTTTTTTAATAAAACACATTTTATAGGGGCTTTCACCACCATGAAATAT